TCCAGCTAGAGCTTGGAGAAAAGACTTAGAATGAGAGATCCCCCCAAAAAAATCGGGATCTTTCAATTTAAACGGTGGCATGCTGGCAAAATCGGAAAAAAAGAAAATCAAAATACCACCAGCAACACGGGAAAGAGAGAAGAACACTTTCCTGCGCCAGAAGAGCGGATCCCCCCACCGGCGGGGGCCAAACAACCCGAGCAGAGCGGGAAACCCTAGCAGAAAGGGGATAAGCTCTCGAGGCTAAGCTGAACCCAATAACGTCCAATTTAAACATGAAAAAAAAAAAACAAAATATACAAACTAGATAGTGTTTGAGTGCAATATATATGTAGCAACAACATCAAGCCGGCCACATCAATTCTATTTCTCTATTGTGTCATATTAAGAGCCAAGTTCTAATTTAAATCTAACAAAAATATAATTTTTAATATTTTAAGATCTTAAGATCTACCGCTATAATTTTTTATTACAAGTAAAATCTAATAAATCTACTATCAAAAACAAAAGTATAAATAGCTGGGAATAGTGACGCTGAAATAAATAACAAGCCATTAAATGCAACAGGAAATGTTCCGATAATGCACACATCATTGGATATGACATTTTACGCATATAAAAATATTCCTTCCAAGTATCAACTCAATATATTTTTAATAATATCTCTTTACTTATTTCATAAGCCATTGTAAAGCAACATCATCTACGCCACAACCGTAAAAACTATGCAACTGAAATAAATGAATAAACGTTCCCTGTACTCTCTGGCTTATTCATAAATATCTTAGAACCTAATTCTTCCATGCTTCAGCACTTAAATCATAAATAATACATAAAGCAAGCTAGGTTTAGTATGGTTTAAGTAAACTGATAATTTAACAGGGATGAAAAGACATGATAAAGGTTGAAAGAGCTTAGTAATAATATTCGTAGGGCAAGCAATGAGAGCAATGGAAAGTGGAAGGACCGGGGAACGCCATGTGCACGCGCGGAGAAGGGGGAAATGGTGATGGAGACATAAGTGGCAAGATAAAGGATAAGGTCGAAGCAAAAGAAGACGGCATGTATAAATAGTAACACATGACTGTCGGAAAGCTTAGAAGACTTAAAACGCCATAAAGGACAATAGCAGATGTTCATCACCCTAAAGGCCCCAAAGCCTGAGCCGTGGCAACTTTTGATTTGCTTTGAAAGCTTATAGCCATCTCTACTGAAAATAGAGATAATGGTAGGTGTTTAGAGATAGAGAGAGAGAGAAGAGATGAAAGCGATAGATAAAGATGGAAATAGGAGTGGGCTAAGGCTTTAATACGTACGGATAAGCACTCAGCACTTGACTGTTAGCATGAGAGAGAGAGAGAGAGAGGAGAGGGAGAAAAGGAGAGGTGGAGTTGGTCAAAGAAGTGGGGAAGAGCTAGGGTTGCAGAGGACAAGCTAGGGCTGGCGGGTAACAGAAGGCGGAGTAAAATAATTGTCCGATAGAATTGCAGGAATTTGACACGCGTCCATCCAGCAACTGTTTATTGTGTACGAGCCAACCATTTGAGGGGAGAGAAAAAGGAGTGGTCCAACAAGGACCTGTTTAAATAAAAATAATATTTTTTATTGGCCATTACATTAAACTCAGAGTACCCGGGGTGGATGTGATAAAAATTCGAATTTCTCCTGTAAATTCTACGAATTCCCGAAAAAGTAAAGTTTTTATAAATATTTTTTATATAATCATTTAAAATTTGATAAATAAATAAATATCATATAGTATTATTTCAATATCTGAAGCGGTAGTCCTACTTCATTAGAGCCATATATTGTTACACAACTTTTAATGCAAAAGAATTCACGTTTTACTGCTAAATTTCCTGCAGGATTTCCACGTGATATTTTTTTTTCCGTATTGTAAGAAAGGATTAATTTAAATTTATCAAATACTGTTTTACCCAATCAGCAATGAAAATTGGCCAAAAGTCAATTACTAATAAAAAGTAATATCAGTGGGGAATTTTATGTAGACGTTAACAACTATGAATAATATTTAATTAGCAGCTAAGCATATAATATAAAGGAAACAATTATGCGCAACAAAGGAGATTCAATAATACAAAAACAAAACGACATAAAATGATAACACCCATTCCTTCTCGTCGGGTGCTAAGTAGTCCAGGTGTCATTCACTTAATCACGACAAAATCAGAGAAAACTTATAAAAAATTATTATGTGAAATTATCAAAAATATGCGAATATGCATTTAATGAAAAAAAAAAAAGCTTCACAAGAATTTCACAAAAAAAAATATAAGGCATTTGGACTCCAATTTTACAAGATGTTGTCAAAGTGAACATCTCAATGAGATGAACTTAATGACATTAAAAGTGATCAATTTAGCTCCAAAATGAGCTTTAATTAACTAGAATTAAATTAATAAACTTCTTGATCAACATGTTTAAGCATGATAAATTAAATTATTGTTAAGATCAACAAGTCAAAATCACTAAATTTTAATGTCAATAAGGAATTTATATATTAAAAACATGATATATAACCAAAATAATTAATTGGAGACACCCAATAAAATGTTTTGGAGTTTTTATTAGATTTATCAAAATGTTACTCTAAAATAAATAAATAAATAAATAAACCTCAACTTTCATATAAACGGTTGAACAAAAATTGATAAGAGGGAGAGCTTGGAACTAAATCTACCAAAAATCAAAGTTGGAGAGAGCTTTGACTGACAATTGATGTCGACGATTGCGGGCTCCTGACCACAATACCTCGACTATGATTTTTCAATCAACATTTTCCTACAATTTCCAAATCATCATCACTTAATTAATGTCCAGAGCATTGTTGCCTAATTACTATAACCTCATAATGATCTCTCGATCGCCGTCACATGACTACTATCTCCAACCAACAACCACTCGATTATCCTCGCCATATTACTATCTCTATCAACTTGATCACCAATAACGTTGATGGACGCGATCACATAAAAGGCCCTTAATGTACTTCTTTTACAATAATGCTGATGCTTGCAAATTTTATCATCTATTATCAATAATAATATTGATGCATGTCATTGCCTATAAGGTTATTATGCATCGTTAACGCATGACATCACCTATAATATTGATACAAGCAGTTGACACTAAAGGCCAACACTAGCCGACTTTGTCACCTTTCATCACTTATAACTTCAACAAATGCCTTTACTACTAAGGCTAATTCACACTATCAATATTCTACCTAATTTTTGACTAAACATTAAAATATACTAGATTTCTTGGTCTATGATCTTCTCCCCTTAAAGAAGAATATCTAATCGATCATAAATGGCCACTTGATAATAACACCAATATGATAAGGTCCTTTTAACTTTTATCTTGGAATTCATTTTTAATAGTTTATATCTACTACATTGTATCACCTCCTTTTAAAATTAAGGGGAAGAATACCATTTGTAACATATGAAATACACTAGCTTGTACAATAAATTTGATGGGGCCAAGACTTTTTTTTTTCTGAATTTTTCATATAAATGTTTTGGTGTCATTTGCAAATTTCATTAATTTTTGTTTGTTCGTGGAATATTCATACATAGTTAAGATGCGAAGAATGTTCATAATTGTTTTAAAACCTCCACAAAACCGTTGTTAATATTATCTATTAGAAATTCATTTGGCAATAATTTCACAACCATTCAAGAAGCCTTAATGCAATAATTTAGTTTGCAGCAGTTAAAACTATTGCACCACCTTAAAAATAATAGTGTAAAAACCAAAGTAATATGGTTACCCAAAATAAATAAAATGTTTATCTATTTCAGAAAAAAATGATTAGGGATACATAAGAAACTTAGCGTATTGACGAGATAGTTGCTTTTTTTTTTTTGCTTTAAAGAACACTCCATCAAAAAATAGAAAAAAAAAAAGAAATGTAAATAATATAAGTTAGATTTTTTTTAGGATTAATTCATCAAAAAGCTATAACTAACAAGGCTAGAAGTTTGCACCAATAAAATTATTTAAATATTAGACAAAGGATGATGAAATAAAGTTGATTTGAGCATATGATTAAGGGCAAGGGTGAGAAATTGAGATGATTAATACACGCAGTAGCAAGCAACGACAATGGCTTGGCAACTAAAGATATTTTTTATAAATAGACAAAAATGTTCTATCGAGTTCATAATATACTAAGCAGTGAAAGGATTTTGACCTCAAGATATAGCAACAATTAATAATTTAGCTTATTAGAAAACATCAAAAAAAAATATATATATATATAGTTGTCCATTAAAATTACCTTCTTTAACAGAAAAATAATACCATAAAATCTTACTCTTTCAACCGTCACCCTCTCTTTTGTCCCCATCTAAATCACTACAGTAACATACAGTGTAATGAATCTCTCGCTCGCGCGCGCGCGCTGTCTCAGCTGTGCGGTCTCTTTCGGAATGCTTTTACCACAGTAGGCGTTCATAAGAATCCAAAAACAAAACCGGGAGCTTTGCAACATATAACGAGATGTAAAGTTTCGATGTAGCTTAACGTTTAGGGTTTAGCGCGCCACTAAAACACTGCTCCCACGTGATGTAGGAGCACCATACTATTCCCATTCCATTTATCCACTACCTCACTCACTTCTCTACTCTTACTCATTAAAAGGCCTCTGACATGAAGAAAACAAAGCAAGCATGATGCATACTAATAATAATTGAGAGGCCTGGGAGTATCCGATTCCACCTCTCCATCAACTTCTCTTCCTTCCTCCGGCATCTACTGTAGCCCTAGCCATGGCCATTTTTGTGTTCAAAGATGAACATCAACAACTAAAACTTATATATATTCTAGCTTAACTAGCTTCTCCTCCCCAAAAAGCCAATCGAAGCCTCCCCGCTTATCATTCTATGCACGTACAGTGCATGGCCAGCTAGCAACGAGCGCTTCAGTAGTCCTTTACATCCCTTAGACCAGCGTATCATCTTTCACCAACAAAGATGTTTCCTCAGGCTAATGAGATTTATTACCCAGTAGAAAAGCCTGATATTTCATCCGCCTTCTTCCCTTTCTCTCCGCCAACCTTTCATCACGACAGCCTCCACGACATCTTTATCCCCACCACCGCTACCGCCACAGTAGGCGCTCCGGCACCTGCAGCTCCAGATAAAACACCTTCCGGCGGCGTTGGTCCTCCGCTTACAGGCCGGAGGCGTCCAATGAGAAAGGATAGACATAGCAAGATATACACGGCACAAGGACCTCGAGACCGGAGGATGAGACTTTCTCTTGACGTTGCACGCAAGTTTTTTGACCTTCAGGATATGCTGGGCTTCGACAAGGCAAGTAAGACAGTTCAATGGCTCCTCAGCATGTCTAAAGTCGCCATTAAAGAACTGGTTGGCGCGGCTTCCAAGTGTGCCGTGGTGTCCTCTTCTGAAGGAGAAGAAGACAACTCGACTGTATCGGATAGCAAGGGAAAGTCAACATCGGCTATTCTTGTAAACGAATTAGAAAGCAACGCAAAGCCTAAAGGTAGGATTTTGAAGTCGAGGTCTATAGTTCAGCCGAAGGTTGCTAGAGAATCAAGAGAAAAGGCAAGAGCGAGAGCAAGGGAGAGGACTTTGGAGAAAAAGATGATGAGATGTGGAAGGGAAGAGGATGGAAGTAGAGGTAATTACCAACAGGCAAATGTCTTACAATCGATTCCGTTGGGTGGTTTCCTGCAGGAGGAATATTCTAGTTCACATGATTTAAAATCCTCCTTAGATTTTGTGGCTGAAATGGAAGAACACTGCTCGACTTCTCCCATATATGGAAACGAAATTGATCATAATGGATCAGGTTCAGTTGCAGCGTTTGATTGTAATCACCAAACTGTCGTTGGCTTATTTCAAGAGCCATGGGATCACATGAGTACTTTTGCAAATAACTACATCGATGAAAAGGTTCTTCTTGGGGAAGTTTTACTGCAGACCAGCTATGGGAGGCCAATCAGTACGCCGTCAATGTTTGATCATGTCTAAATAATTAAATGCTTCAGTATGTGATTCTAATCCTTTGTTTGTTTCTCTTTGCCTGTATTAATTAATTTCCCCGTCATGACTTTCTCCATCTTGCTTTTTATCATGCTTGACTTGGTGCTGAATAACATTTATTGTCTTTTGTGTCATTTTCATGGTTCAGATTCTGTTTCCTATGGCTGCTAATAAGAGTATTTTTGCAATAACTATTTCATGCAAGCCTTCTTAATTTATTTCACAATGAAGTTCAATATTTGTTGTGAGGCACGCATATATATATTTAATCATCAGAAAATTCATGAACATTTATAATTATTTTAATTCAAATAAGAAATATGTTACTTTTAACTAATTAATTTTAAGCTTTCTTATTGGGGTTTCATAAAATTTAGGAATGTTCAGTACGTAAAGGTTTAATACATCTGTTCAATTCTGTAAGCTGTTTTTGTTTAATTTCTGGAAAAGCAGATCAATTGTTCTAAGATGAACTCCTATTCTCCAAATAACTAACTAATTTATGCTGAAGGAAGAAAACCAAATCGTATGGCTTCTTTCAAACAAAGTGCAGCAAGATTGAATCTTTCTAAGGGCAACGGGTAAATAAATTATCCCAATGGAGTATATAGAAATTAATTAATTTTACTCTATATGAAGTCTTATAAGTTATTTCCGTTTGGCAACTATATATGGCTTAAAACTCTTGTTCAATTTGACAACGTAACAACATATATTTTTGTCTTCTAAAAGTATGTGTAACCTTGACATGAAAAGAAAGTCACAAAATCATTGAACTTTCTAAGGTTAAAAAAAAAAATACAAGTTGTTTGCGTACCCTATAGGGATCAAATCACATGCACTTCAAAAAGAGTAATGAGAATAATTACAAAAGTCTAATACTTAAATAGATTAAGAGAAGAAGTTAACTATAGAATCCTTTTACAAGATATGATCGGATGAAATACCAAAAATAAGCATAGTTGATTCAAATTTTAATAAAGTTGAGATAAAAACTTTTCTGACAGTATTTCTTAGTCATTAGTCTAGTGATTCTAGGGGTGGCACATCTCAACCAACGAGAAATGAGTTACTTGATCAAGAGATGCCCTTTTAGATGACATGATTCACAAAAACAACTTACCACAAATTTTATGATGGGAGAACCACATTCGATAAACAAATGACCAAATATAAGAAAAAATGGGGAATGAGACGGAAAGGGCACAAAATTAAAAACAACAAGCCTCAAGGGTAATATCGACACCATAATTAAAAACACCCCCTACAAAATCAACTTCTGTTTTTGACTCATCGGATTGGTACCATCTTAACGACAACGGAAGAATTGACCTTTTCTAAATTTCGCGGGAGTTTTTTTTTTCCGTTAATCATAAATATTGTAGAATCCATGAAATAAAAGCTTATGAATTTATCTTTGTTGACAACATTGTATCATTAGATCTCTCCAGCATTGTCTTATACCATCAGAAAGTTCTATGACTTCCAGTTTGGTGAGGATCTTTGTGTTGGTTATTTGTCAAAAAAATCTACCAACTGGCACTATAGGACAACCCGTCATTACTGGCGGACAGAATACGCCGGTAACATGAAAATTTCAACAGAAAGAGCACGTTTCCATGTTTCCGTCGAATTTCTGACGGATTTTCATACACCGGTTTTGCACGCATCGGAAATAATTTTCTGGTGTCAATAATACACCAGAACCTTTTACGGCGTACTTTCCGGCCCATAACCGGCGAAAAAGTGAGTGCAAGTTACGTCGATTTGAATTTGCTTATTCGGGCATTAAATACGTCGGAATTATCGGCGTACAAATCCACTGGAATTGCCGGCTGAACAAATGTTGCTAAATACGCTGAAACCTTAAACGACATATATAACCGGCGCAGTATCCGCCAGAAATGCCGGCGTAACAAAGACACCGGAAATTGATACGGAATGTGTTGTATCGTCATTTCCGGCGGATTACTTGCGTTTTATCCGCCGGAAACCTATAGCAAAAACAAACAAAAAATATCTTCCCAGGCAACAATAAGATTTCCACACATGCAAACAATTACAAATATTTTAAAAAAACTACTCAACAACACAGATTTCCACACCACAGATGGCCTACGAGTTAATACTAAAAAAATAGTACAAGGTCCTTAAAAGGACCTCCAGCTCCCTATTACTCAGAAGAGATACAAAAAAATACTAAAAAAAACCTATGAGCCAGAGTTCCTTGCTAAGCACGAATACAAGAAAACCTAACAACATGTTAGAATGGCAAGTAATCTAAACCCAAAAGATACAAAAGGAAATATATCCATTCAGCTCATTCTCATCATATTTGGCCTTGATTTGTTTCGTATGTATTTTAAGCGCTTACCTGTTCGGACCATGTTTTCATTACCTTATTGTCTTATTTGTCTCCCTTATCATTTGAGGATTCCAATATTTCTAGCTACTTCTTTCGCTACTAGACTTACAAATTCCAATTTATTGTATTAGGATTGTTCAATTATTCCATTAGTTTGAGAATTTCAATAAATTATGAGTTATGGGCATTTAGGTGGTTCATTTGTTCATCGATTTCAAGCTAGTAATTTGGTTCGTCTTTCTATTTCTTGAATGGGATGATGAGTTATTCTCTTGAGAAATTCGATATGGGACCTTGAAGCTTTCCATTTCACGGAAGATCTCTATTTGTTACTTGCAATTTCTTTTAGCATATGATAAATTCTTATTTTCATGACTATCTCGTTCAATTGTTGTATTTATTGTTATTTTATCATTTAGCCAATTAATTGGGTTGGTTCTTTTAATATATGCTGGTTTTTTGCTTAAAAATTTTTTTCTCTATCCAGCAATACAGTTTAGCAACATCATAGTATATAATTGGAGGGTTGTCGCCATCAATTGGCATTTTAGTACTATTGTTTTGTAGAAACAATAGGGATTTAGAAGCATCCTTCTCAATTATAATAATTTCCTTAGGACTGCCTAAAGCTAAGGCATTAATTATGATAGAAGAATTTCTCACTGACAACAAAAGCATTATGATTCTTATTTCTCAACATAGCAGTATTAGGATCCAGGTGTTCTGAGGCGTTCTTCAGGTTTTCTTAACTCATGGTGGGTTATACAATGAGAACCAATATTGTTTCCAAATATTTCTCAGCTATGAGCAATATCAATCTCAACAAGTACTCTAGCCATAGAGGGGTAAATAATTAGGTTAGTGGCAAGAGCATCGACAATCAAATGTTTACCAAAAATAAAACCTAAGGCAAATAATGTATGATGGTTAATGTAATGAATTTTGAAAGGAAAAAAATTCAACCACACCAATAGGAAAGGTGGTTTATAAGAAGTATTAAATTCGGTTATGCTTCTCAACATCCTTGTAGGAAACCCATAAATATAAAATAATCTACAAGAGACAAAATTTGTGCACTATTTTTTAACAAATATTTTAACATAATTGACGTGTGGATCTATATACATAATGTCAATGCAATGAAGCCCAAACAGCCCTAGATCTAGAAAAATTTGTGCCTACAGGTGTGGCAGCGTTTTCAAACATGAAGCAAGGGGGAATCAACCTCAAGACAATTGAAGTAGCAATATATAATTTGGAAGCTATTGAAGCAAAGGGTTTTGAGATCCTGCCACCACAAATGAAAGGGAGGACAAATGGGCACTGGTGAGATCTAAAATATTGGCCATCCAAGAACCCCTTTGCAATGGTGAATGAGTGACAAGATTTAATGGATAGAAAAAAAAAAAGCATGGGCAACAAGAGATATTTACAATATCATCAATCGCAATCAAGAAATGGGATGTTGGTACTCGGAGATATTTAAGGATTGTGGGACCCACAAGACAACCAATTAATCTTGATAGGGAACCTTGAACAGACGGATTGAGGGTTTTAATTGTTTGATCGTCTCTTATGGACTTTAGATTGCAATTCATATGACTCATCTTTCAATTTTTTTTTTTTAGTAGAAACCTCAAAAGGGGCTTACGTGTTAATTTAGCAAAAATTACAAGGTCCTTAGAAGAGCTAAAAAATAAATCAAAATAAAACTTATAAGCTGATGGTTCCCTGTACTACAAAATACAAAATAAACATGCCTCGTCTTTCTAATTTAGCCACTTGCCCCTCTAGAGGACTTTTCTTTTATGAATGGTTTTATTATTATTTTTTCTTTGCAAGTCATTTAGAGAAGTCTATAACATCCAAACATTCTACCAAATTAAGCAGTAACATTCAAAGTTTTGTTTTCTAATTTTCTATATATGGTATTGGAGGAGCTTAGGGTTTTTGACTTCCAACCTTTAACTTTTTTTTCCTTTATTCGCTCTAGTTAAGATTTTTTCTTCTTTTTATTATGATTGATTTTGTTGACTTCCCTTTCGAGGAGGCGACTATCAAGAATAGTGAAAATTAGGCTAAGGAGAACTCTGTAGGCAACAAATCTCAACATCACCTAAATAGGTGAAATTATTTGGAATAATCTCAATTTTTAAAATGAAAGGAAATGATTCATCATCTTTTGTATCATTCTCTGGAGATGAAAGACCTAAGTTTTCAACTTTGAGATGGAACATATTTCGTAATCATGATATAGTTATATATGATAAACCATGATACCTGAAATCATTGGACTATATATGTTTCTTCATATAACAAATCAAGATATCATCAAATAAATATACTCAAAATTGAAGGATGCTACCATCATCTATGTATTAAAACTAAGATTTCAACAATCAAGCAAGGTAGCCTTCATGTTATTGAGTAATTTAATGCAATGAAGGTTAATTGGCTTGACCTGGATATTTACTAAGATCTTAGGCTGATATGCTAAAAAGATGCTTTATTTTCAAGTATTTTGTAGAAAAAGAAAGAATTTTTAAGTTTCTTGCATGACTCAATAAAGACGTCGACCAAATTCATGCCCAAATCAAAAGTTAAGAAGTATCATTAAAGGTGG